ATTTTTTCTATGCTGTTCTAGAGGTTAATTACACATAGATGATAGCCCAACCTTCTTTTGAAATTATCGGAAGAAAGAAACTCCATAGCTCACCAGGCAATTTATTCCCTTACTGACCTGCCATTGTGGTTAACTAAAATTGATCTTTCTGCAGAAGAGGGAACAATGGCTTGTTCTATTCCATGGGATAAGCTATTGTTCTCCCCTTATTTCTGCATTAGCTGCTGGACCATAGTCTAAAAACTTAGCTCATTTGGTTAGCGCAAATTCTTAATTCATTTTCTATATAATGAAGGACTGCCTTCAAGATTTCATTATCTTTATGATCAAAAAAATATTTGGTATTAATATTTAAGTATCTTCCACTATTGAGGAACCCAAATCTATTATAAAAGATCTAGTCTAATTTTCATGAAATTTTGTGTGCCAGTAGATATTGCTATGTACACTGGAAGTCCCATTGGACCTTATTATTCTTATTAATCATTTATATGGGACCATAAATGTGTAAAGCACAGTGCCATGTAGTTTATAGCTTTTATATTCATTTTTATTATATTACTCATTCACTGTATATATCTATATATATGAATGGGAATGTGTGATCCCTGAGATAGTGAGGAACAAGGTGATAAATTTCCTTAAAATGTAAAAATAATGGGTACTTCATGAGTGGCAAGCTCAAATATATTCTCCTAGAGGCTGTGCATAAATTATATAACTTTTTCTAAAGTGAACCAAACTCTATTCTTCCATTTGCAATGGTAGGGAAAAAACAATCTGCTGTGCAAAATTAAAGGGTCTCATCATTTCTGGACGGACTTGCATCACTCACACCTGATTGGACATTAAGATTTCACCAAGACTGTCCAAGGCTATTGAAATGAGAATCCCAAAAAGGTCAGAAATATATACTTGAAAAAGTACATAGGTCATGATTCAATGTATCCATGTCTAAGCTGGTTATAGAATTCACCATCTGACATATAGGTCCTTTAAAATAACCAGAGGGATTCAGCAGTGAATTATGCCCTGCCACATGTTGAGGAAAGCACTTGGCTTTAAAGGAGTGTATGATGTTTCAGAGCATGATTCATGGGGAGCAAGTAAGAGACAGTGCAGTTTTCCTTTTGTACCTGCTGCAGATTCTGTTGCTACTACCATAGGCAAAATGGCGGGCAGGGGTGGGAGATAAATTACTTGGAAGGTTAAGCCTGGGCTGCGGGTCAGCTGTTACCACTGCTGCTATAGTGTTTAAATGACTATGGTCCAGGTACAGTGGTACCTTGGTTCTCAAATGCCCTGATACTCAAATGCCTTGGTTCCCAAACGCCAAAAACCTGGAAGTAAGTGTTCTGGTTTTCAAACGTTTTTCGGAAGCCAAATGTTTGATGCGGTTGTTGGCTATTGTTTCTGGGACGCCTGCACCAATCAGAAGCTGTGCCTTGGTTTCTGAACATTTTGGAAGTCAAACAAACTTCCGGAATGAATTAAGTTTGGCGCTTTTGTTTTGCTGTTTGTTTTGCTTTTTTGTTTTTGAGGCTTTTTCAGTTAATTTGTTTTTGTGACTGTGTGGAATTCAGTTCAGCTACTGATTGATTGATTGATTGATCCATCCAAACAATGACTATCATCAGTGCAGTTAAGAAAAAGAATTAATTTTAATTTGTATCACCTACAATACTTATTTATTTTATAGTACAGTACATTGATTGTTGCTTTCGTTTTATGGCTCAATGGTCTCGTTAGATAGTAAAATTCATGTTAAATTGCTGTTTTAGAGGTTGTTTTTAAAAGTCTGGAATGGATTAATCCATTTTACATTACTTTCTATGGGAAAGCATGCCTTCATTTTGGAGCAGACTTCTGGAACGGATTAAGTTTGAGAACCAAGGTACCACTGTACTGGATTATAAGGGGAACAGGCTTTCACAGCCATGTGACTCATCTCCAGTTATGTCACCCCAGGAGAAGAAGAAGAGTTTGGATTTGATATCCCGCTTTATCACTACCCGAAGGAGTCTCAAAGCGGCTAACATTCTCCTTTCCCTTCCTCCCCCACAACAAATTGTGAGGTGAGTGAGGCTGAGAGACTTCAAAGAAGTGTGACTAGCCCAAGGTCACCCAGCAGCTGCATGTAGAGGAGCGGGGAATCGAACCCCGTTCACCAGATTATGAGACTACCACTCTTAACCACTACACCACACCCAGGAGAAGCTTTTATGTGGGGAAAGCATTGGCAGGCGAGATTTAGTTATTTGTCATATTTGTAGCCTGCCTTTCTTCCAGTGAGCTCATACAGTGGTACCTCGGGTTACAGACGCTTCAGGTTACAGACTCCGCTAACCCAGAAATAGTACCTCGGGTTAAGAACTTTGCTTCAGGATGAGAACAGAAATCGTGCTGCGGTGGCGGGAGGCCCCCATTAGCTAAAGTGGTACTTCAGCTTAAGAACAGTTTCAGGTTAAAAACGGACTTCCAGAATGAATTAAGTTCTTAACCCAAGTTACCACTGTACATGGTTCCTTCTCTCCATTTTATCCTTGAAAAATAGTGACCTGCTCAAGGTCACCCAACAAGCTTCTTGGTTGAGTAGGGTTTTGATGCTGGGTCTCCCCAATTATAGTCTGACACTAGTGCCCCCGTGCTGATAACAGGACACTCAGGTTCAAGAACAGCACGTGAAGTTTTTCCTACATGACCCCACATCAATGTAAGAAAATCACATGTCTTCATGGGAAGACTGATCTCTGCCAGTCAGGGATCATGTAAGTGAGAGTGATAACAGAACACTATACAGCTGGTCAGATATAGCCATGTGACAACATCACCAAGCCTATTCAGAGGATAGTTATGTTTCCTGAACTGACATTGCCATCACTCTGAATGGGCAAGCCTTTTCATTCCCTATACAGACCTTCAGGAAGCTTTTCATACGTGCATAAAGCTTTCACAAATAATGTTCCTATTATATTTTGACTCAGGCCTTCCTAAAGCTACTTCTCAACTCTCCTTTGCTGGAAAAGGAAAAGAAAGATAATTATTGTTTCAGTTTCAATCACCATCTTTTTATTACTCTTTGGTAATAGTACAGTGGGGAAAGGATTGAACTCATTTCTTGTTTACTTAAAAAAACAACCCTCAGTGGTTTGCATCATTTTACGGAAACCATTTTAGTTTAATGAAAGGCTGACAGTTTTCTTTTCAAAGTATTTCATGAGGTGTAAAAAACTGATACAATGAAAACCATTCCTGAGCAGAATTCATAAATAATGAATATATTTTCTTATTAATCCATATTTTAGTTTAACTTGGGCTCATAGCAAGTTAGTTCCACAGGGAATGCAGGTTTTAGTTTTTGGTGTGGTTTTTTTCTACAAGGGAAGGTGATGAGCTATGGTCCCCTGGGAATTAAATTGTGAAAACAATCTCGGTTTCGTACATGCTAATATAGATCTGTTATTCCCTTTCCACATCTATTGCAAGACATTTTAAATTGTGGCTGATCTTTTATGCAAATAGCTGTCTTATTAGACATTGTGGCTGTATGTGCTAATGTCTCTCTGGGTTTCTTGGGAGTTTGCTATCTAACCATCAAAGCAGTCGAAATGAATGATGATTACTGCACAGCTTTGAAGAACAAAGAAAAGTCACAGCAATTTTAGAGGTCTTGGTTACTGCAAAATCAGTGACAGCTTGAACCACACAGACATCCAGGAGGGTCTCTGTGGCTCATATTAACTAGGCCAAACTTTTTTGTTTTGTTTTGTTTTTTTAAGGAACAAAATAGATATTATTTTTTCGCTTCATAGTTTACTGGCAGCTGCAAAAAGTGCAGTCTTTTTTCACTGCTGACATTTTGTTGCAAACCTTCCAAGGGTATTGAATTAGCAAAAGGCAAATAAAAAACCCTATTTCTTCAAGCAAATAAAGTAAGCTGCGAAGTGGATGTTGCACATAAAAGTTTGTGTATCATCAACTTTACTAGCCTTTGTTCCTGTTTTGTGTCATCTGGAATATGGCAGCATTGCAGATTCGACAGGGGGGGGGAGACAAACACATAGGTCTCTGTGTGAGGTGAAGTGTAGGATGGGTGGGTGAGGAGGTTATCCTTATTGCCTTCATTTTATTACACGGGTCACATCTACATGATGAACCTGCATCAGTTTCATACCACTTTAACTATTATAACGTCCCATAAAGAATCCAGGGAATTGTAATTTGGCGGGGATTCTAGCAGTTCTGTAGCCCCCCTCCCCTGACCGAACCACATTCTTAGGTTTTCCTGAGAAAAGGGGGAGGGAGAGACTGTTAAACCCGTTTTCATAGAACCGTAGGGTTGGATCATCTCGCCCAACTCCCTGCTATGCCGGACTCTTTCGCCCCAACGTGGGACTCTAACCCACAGCCCTGAGATTAAGAGTCTCTACAATTCTACCAACTGAACTATCTTCCAGTATCCTTTTAAGCCTGTAGTGTGCATTTATAGAGATCTGATGATGAATAGCCACGTAGTCTATAAAGTTATTGCGAAGGACTGTGTCACATTTGTTGATGGGAAACGCGTTGGGTTAGATCAAGAATGGGGAATTTCAGGCACCGTGGGGGGAAATGTCAGCTTCTAAGCCTCTCTGATTGATCCTCTGGACTCTCCCCAGGCCAGATCCTCTCCCCAGCCACACCTACCTGCTGTCTCTCTCACACATCCTTTAGTGTTTTCCTCTAGGTGTGCCCCTGGACTCTGATAATGTCCCTTGCTTGCCTGATGGAGGACTGTGAGGGGTGTGTAGGAGCTAACGTACTGTACAAAGGTGAAATTTACATTAATTGCTCCACCCACCTGGAATCATAGAATTGTGTGTGCATCTGTGTAGTTATTTCTTGAGTCAATTATGAGATGTATTGGTATGCTGCCCTTCTGCTGCAAGGACAGCATTCAGGATGACTCACACCACTTACAACCATAGATATTGATAAACTCTTTCCCTCTTTCCTTACAGAGTTCTGGGACACATATAAAATGGGTAGAAAAGATTCTTCTTCTGCAAGAGCTCCTGTTGAGCAGCACAGAAAACAAATAGGTAAAACATTTCCCTTTTTACTTAATATATTTGTTTCTCTTTTTAGTTTTTGTGAGTGCTACATTCCTGTAGGAAGGATACTGAGTTCTAAAGCTGATTACTTTTAACTGCCTTCTAACAACATGTTTTGAACGGATTCAACTTTCTAATGCATGTTGCTGGACTATCATTCTAGACTATTCGCCATTAGTCTCAAGCAGATGAGATTTGGAGACCACCAACATCTGGAGAGCCACAGGTTAACCACCCTTCTGTAATGGTTTCACTGGATATGATGTACTCTCAGATTAACTCAAAAGTACTGGAGGCAAAGTAAAACTCAGTGTGATAACATGACTCTTTTGGTTAAAAGAAGAGTAGTTGGATATAGCACGTACCAAATTGATTAATGGTGAGGGTAGCTTGAACTGTGGGTTGTTTGAATATAGAGAATCTGTTGCATTGAGGCTGCATTCACACTAAGTCTGGACCTGTGATGAAGTGAACATGTGATTGCTTCACTGTGCATCCAATTCTCCACTTTCCCGTGTGGGCATTATCCTGCATTGCTACAGCACATTAGCCAGAGAATCATATGCTGCTGCTCTCGGTGGGCTGTACCGCATTAGACTGAAAGCTGTAAATTAGATTATCATATAAAAAATGTACCTGCACATTTAGAAATAGTTGCCGGGAAGAAGACGAGGCATTGTTTTGCATTTGTAGAGAAGCCATTGTATATGATTAAGCATTCACAGTGTGATTCCACACTTGCAGTCGGAAATGGTGCGACCCAGCATGAGCCGAATCAGCACAGTGAGTTGTTCAGCAAAGGTGTGCTGGGATGTGGACTGGAACTGAAAAACAGAGGTTTGGGTGCAATTAATCACACATGTGCTTCGCTGCAGGCCCAAACTCTGACACTGTTTTTTTCCATCTGCATCTGAATGAGAGTTGGCCTTCAGTCTGAAACCAAATAGCTTGCAGGCTGTTCCAGAGGGTTGAATCCAGGGAACACAAGTTATTTGCCTTAGTTTGTTGCAGTGACGAGCATCAATTACTAGATATTCTTCTTCTGCCTAACTTGCCCTCACTTAAGGCAAGTCAAACTGAAAAAAGAAATAAGAATGAATGTTCTGATTCAGATGGGGGAAGACTTCTAGATCAGGGTAGATTTCATGTGGCTCATTGCTTTTCCTTCTCCTGTATAGACTGTTGAGCTCTGCTTCAATTTTCTATCACGAGAATGAAAATCTTTTTTTAAAAAAATAGACACAAAACCTTCCTTTGTTCTCACATTATCTGTTTAGGTACCTCAGTTACCATAGGTTTCATCAGCTAGAGTTTATATGGCATGCACACACCACCACCTTGGCGTTTTGTGTGTGTGAATAGCTGACAGAAAGGCTTTCTGCGCAACTACTCCAAATATCCAAACAGCATTTAGTCTCGGTGCATTAACTCCTCCAGGTACCTCTTCAGTTACAATAGTGGAATTAGGGATATGGTAGAGACTGCAGAGTTTTCAGTCCCACTGCATCATCTCCAATATGGAAGCTTTGTGGGGTGTTTCCGATTTCCGTGGAATTTACCAACGACTTCAAGTACTTTCCCTCCTCCCCACCCTCCCACTTGGTTGTGCAACGGTTTGCACAACCAGCAGGCAGTTCTGGAAAATTCAACCCTGATTGCTCCTTATCGGGTTTGCATACAATACTTGCTTCCTGCCTCTGCAATGAATGCAAGGGGTTGCCAAATTGGCTCAAGCTAGTTAATTTCACCTCTACTGTGAAATGACTTCTCTGAACTCAAGTATGTCAGTTTCAAACTGTCTCTTTGCAGCCCTTGTAGAACTTTTCTGGGTTGTTACCTAGCCAGCTGCATCTATTTTTTCCTCTGTCTGAGCTGTATGCTCCAGAGCTTGCACATCCAGCCACTGATTATTTTTATTTCCTTGTGGGAATTATATTGAATAGAATTAGACACCACAAAGCATTAGGATACTTTCCCGTGCTAACAGAACAGCAGTACTGGCAATGGAGATTGAATCAGGAGAATTCATGTGTCATCCCTAAGTAGAATATCGTGTTTGCACACAGTAGATTGGGGACAACCTGAAGCACAAAATTCCCATGAGCATCAAGCCCTAGTTTTCTGGGCATCTGATGGCCGAGCTAAGGACTCAGATACCTTGGGGGGGGGCATTTCTTAAGCTGAAATGCTGCTGTTGCAGTATTCATTACAATCTGAAATGGAGAAGAAATTTTTAGGGAAATAGGTGCTTGAATTGTCATTCTACCAAACATTACGAACAGTCCAGGTTCATATTCTGAGACAGGTAATTATAATGATAATTTATTTAATCATAAACTTCACTGACATAACTAACAGCAACACAAAAAAAGGTTAACACAATAGTAAGGTATTGCTGTGGAGCACAGTAAGGCAGACTTGCTGGTTCTTAGTAAAGATGGCTGAATAAGTACTTTTGCATTGGAGTTGTACAGCAGAGGGATTTGCAGCCATTAATAATTTGAATTCAGAAAACATAAAAAAGGTTTACCAAATTAGTTTAGACTTTGGGGGGTGTAAAGTTGTGAATCGTCGCAAAACACCACAAAAATAGTCTGTTAATTGCACAACACTTAAATGCACCACAAGGCATTCAGAATGGAACTGGTTGCCTGCTCTTACATTTTTGCACATATTAGATAATATCAAGGCATATTGTATGCTTGGGGAAAACCTTTGGATCAAAAGGGGGGGATATATAGTATTAGTATCTCAATTTATCATTAATTGATGGGTTTTAGTAGTCACACCAAAGCAGAAAAACTACATAAAGAGAACCAAAGCCTGTGCTGTCAGGTATTTATGTTAGGTAGCACAAATTCATATTCATTAACTACTGAGAATCAATTTACAGACAGCCGAGGCTTGTCTTTAATCCATTGTTTCAAATCAGGGAAGTTCTCTCCACGAACTCTTCTTCATTACAGCTGTTCTAGTTACGCAAGTGTGTTATTTACTGGGATGCTGATTACGTTCTATGATATATTATTATTAATCTGAAAACCACCACCGCCATCACCAGTGTAATGGGGATGCAAAATGTGGACTGCAACTGCTCTGAATACATAAATAGCTTCCTTTCTTTAAAAAAGACCTTCTCCTGTTTAATTTAGAACACATATCCTCCTGAACAATCACTGTCATGTGGACTTTCTGCTTCTACCTTAGAAGAAGGAGAGAGGGATTGTGTCGACAGTGTTTTCTCCTCCCATTGGAGGTGGGCTGTCACATATTCCAACCAGCAGTAACTCCATGCTCCACTGGTAACATTCAGCTTCTCCAGAAAGATTAGATAAGAGCAGTGTGTACTTGGTCCCAACACCAATTAAGAGCATGACCCATAGGGATGTAGGAAGCTGCCTTATACCAAATCAGACCATTGGTCCTACTAGCGCAGTATTGTTGACACTGATAGTCAGCGGTTCTCCAGAGTTTCAGAGAGGAGTCATTCTCAGCCCTTCCTGGAGAGGCAAGGGGTTGAACTTGATGCATTCTGCATGCAAGGCAACTGGTTTACCATTAATCTACATCCATTCCTTGTAGACATACATTACCAACATGTGGAAGAATTAGCCATGGAGTTCTTGCTCCCTCCCTTCCTTTGTGTACAGTTGTGCATGGAAGCAGCACACTGGGGCATTGTGAGGATTGGGGTGACATGAAAAAGAGGGTGCTTACTGCCCCTTCCTGATTCCTTCTGCTCCTCTGTGTTCAGTTTTGAAAAGTCGTAAAAGAGAAGAAGGGGCATGTCTTCCACAAACCTGGACTATATTCCTTGCATTGCAAACGAACACATCCGAAGTTCCGAGGTATTTCTGCCATGTGTGTTATTCTAGTTTATTTTAAAGAGAATGGATGCTATTTCCATCACAGCCAACTGTACAATTCAAAAGAATGGAAGAATACGATCATGAATTAAACAGGTTGTTTCCTTTTGTTGAAGTGAATAGGAAATTCATGCTGAGTGACTGTAGTAACTATTAACCTTTGTCATGCATCCCTTGAGCTCCCAGCACAAAACAGTAAAACCATCAAAGTGACACAGGTTAAAGAAGCAGAAATGTGCTTGTTTCCAGCACGGCACTTTTTAACAGTACAGTATTTTTAACCTGTCAAATAAATACCTGATTGTCACTGATGTATCTTACAGTCATATAAAACTTATGAACCACAATATATATACTTTGAGTTTTTTTTGTTTTTTGTTCGTTTTTTAAGTGCCTGATGCCTCTTGCCAGTTTGCCAACCTCACATTGGCTGAAGCTGCTGTGATGTCACAAATGATCCCAACTGCTGTGGGGGAAGGACTAGTTTATAGAATGCTGGAAATCAGTAAAATTTGGAGAGAAAATGGAGCATTAGTTTGGCTTGGCATGTGTGCATCCTTCACGCATGTAATACAGACTTTGTACTGCATGGGGGTTAGAGAGATGGATTAGGGGCTTGAGGGATGATGTGGGACATTAAGAAGGCAGGGATATATAATCCTCACAAAAAGGTTATAGACAAACAGGGTGTGTTGTTGCTGGGAAGAAGTACTGAGTATGCACTACCTGCACCTTGCGGCTAGTAGTCGTACGACAAAACAATAAGAAAGTCAACATGTGACATTCATAGAGCACAATTCCAGTCTCAACACTGTAATAATAGATTCTTTATTGTGCCTTGGGATGAACAGCTAGGTGGAGGGTCTGTTTTCTCTATCTTGACTGTCATGATCACAAGCCTATTCTCCATGAATTCATCTGACTGGCTTTGAAGATTTTGAAAGCTGACCATTTTTTATTTTTTATTAATAAGGCTTTTGTGCATGTGCCCTGCCATGGCCTGTGTTTAATTCCAGAAAGTGAAATCGTTATGCATTTGTCTATAAATATTTAATACTAATTTTTTATAAATGAGAAATTGATTTTGAAGTCCGGTAATAGCAAGAGTCAATTTGAAAGAGG